CTGATAGCTATTTCTGCGTGATTTCAATTTCAGAAGAAGCCCACATGATAAATTAAACCAGGACGTCGTTTTCCAAGCAGTAAACATGGTGTTTTGTCTGTTACTAAGCATAAAGCTATTGTACTTACGGAAAAACTGAGGCAGGTTCCTCTCCTGACCCCAGTCTCCACTGCTTCCCTTGGAGCCTGCAGAAACCTTYTGCATGGCAGACACCATAACTGCAAATGTAGTTACTTTTTTAAATAACCATAACAAATAGAGGAAATACAAATGATGAACAACAGCTGGAAAAGGGATGAGCCCCTTCAGAGCCAAGATAACTCTAGCAGATGACCTCCTGATACCTAAAACTGCTCACAGCACAGATACAGTAGTGTCATAAATGCCATTCCTGAAGCATGCCAAAAAGGAAAAATCTCTCCACTAGCACTGGAGATCAGTATTGCCTTTGTCAAGGTGTCAGAATGCTGTTTTCCTCAAACTGGATACCAAATCTTGAAAGACCTACTACCAGGTGAATAGTGCAAACTGGAGCGAAGCTCCTACAAAACGCACAGAAGCAGACACAAGCTGAGCAGGGAAAATGCTGATTAGTTGTAAGGAAAAAAAGGCTTCAGGAGGGAAGTGGCCAAGCACTGGAAGAGAAGCCCCGAGAAGCTCATCCACCCCAGGGATGCTCCGGGCTGCACTGGCCAAGGCCCTGGGCGACCCGGCCTGCTGGAGGCTGGTCCTGCTCTGCCAGGGAGCAGGGCTGTGTACGGCCTCCGGAACTTCCCTCCAGCCTAAATTCCAGCATAAATCTAGGGTCTTGGGTTCCGTCTCCTTTCAAATAATAAATGAATTAAAGCCTGCCAGACCCGGTTCTTTATTTCAGAAAGGCACAGAGTGGGGAGACAGAGGGTCTCGAGGGGAGCAGAATAAACACACTATCCCTGGGTAGGGGATATTGATGGCAAAATATCCATAGAAAGCAGTTTTCTTTGGAAATCACCAATGGCCTCTTCCTGACTGTTTTAAAAAGCGCAGGAGAGGGACAAGTCATCTCTGTTGAACCCCGAGACCGCGTTGTTCAGCACAGGGCTTTCCTTGGGGCTGATGCTCCTCAGAGGCTTTTTCTCTAGGTGCCCTTTTGCAGGGCTCAGTGCGAAGTTCCACCCTGTGAAGTTTTCACCCCCTGGCCCATTCCCGGTTCCCAGGAAGGCGGCAATGCGAAGGAAGCAGCAGTGCCCTGCAGAGCAAACACCTCCCGGTGCCACTGAGCACATGGATGTGCAGCCAGCAGCCTCGGGGCACGCAGAGGGACCGTCCCAGGCCCTTGCTACTTACAGGCACGCTGCCTGCTTTGAGCTTTACTGACACTTCCCTGTCTGGTTGGCTGGTTTTGGCTTCCCAAACTTTTAACAAACCTTCAGTGCAAAYGTTTTCTTTTGCCCCAGGTTGGTACAGCAGCGTGCCAGGTGGAAGAGTTTGGTCTGTGCACAGAGTTTGGAGATTTTTGAGGTTTTCTAGGAGAGGTGGCTCTTACAGCAGTCTTGACACAGGAGTAAAATGGCATTTTTAAAACACTGTGTGCAAAGATATTGCAAAAATGTTGTATAGTCAGGGGATCAGGTGAGAATTCCTGAAGTGTTTCTGAACTGACTTTCTGTAATACCAAACAAATAAAATATTTTTACAAGCCCTTATTTAAACTAGGCTATACAAACACTTGATTTAACATGAAAATGCACTTGGATGATCTGTAATGGCTTTCCCTGGAAATCTGTGTAGAAAGTGTAGGGAAGTGCTGCAGCCCTTGCAGTGCTATTTGCCTATTGATTCTGCAATGCAGAATTACTCACTGCTGGCAACAGACACAGTAGATGAGCCTCAGTATCCTGCATCACACGCAGGGATCAGCTTCTCATCCAAGGAAATAGTGAGTCTCCACACAGCTTGAGGTAATTACATAAAACTCGTTTTCATCCATACCCCATGTATGGATCTCGTGGATCCATTAAACACRGAACTCATGTTTTTAGGCAAGATTTTTCACTACAATTAGCAAAAATGGACAGTTGCTCGAAGTTAAAAGAAAAGAGGTCTTGGCAGCAGCAAGGCAAGGCAAAGGAAGCCTCGCATTCCGTTCAGGCTGCAACATCCAGCTCCTGGCACGTCAGCAAACTAGCACGAGCTTAAGGACCAAAATGTCAGCCAAGTTTTAGGTTTTTGTCTTTCATTTATGGGATTTATATGAGGCTGCTAATGCCAAATTCTCTTCTCTCTTGACAGTTTAAAATTCAGATTTAATGTGTGTAATGATTTAAACATAGAAAAAAAAACCCCATTTTCTAACTTTCTCCTCTCTTTGCTGTGTTTTAACTATACTGCTGTTTAGACATTTCCTGTCTGTGTTCAGAGATACCTAGTTTTAACATAATGCCATGAGAGGGGGAGCTCTAAACAGCTCTAAACGTAGTTTCTTTTGGCCTTAAATCAGGGAGAAACTGGGATGAATAAAATGAAAAAAAAAACAGGCACTATAACACCAATTTTGCAATTTCACAGCATGCTATGGGGAATCAAATTAACAGTTGCAAGATATCCTGAAGACTTGAAGCGCTAAATGCTAATGATGTTGTGGTTTTATTTTTCCTCAATAGGCAACTATAGACTCGTGCCACTCTCTTAGGAAGTCGAAGCACGAATCCAGTTCACATCCCTATCTGAGAGTTAGAGCTGTCAGGTTTAAAGCAGAGTTGTCAGGCCAGTCTCCTGTCCTCCCACCTCATCAGCGCTTTTCTCTTGGCAGGCAGGCACATTCCCCAAGCTGACAACAAATTTCATTTCAGACCGTTCAGATATTTAAAGCTAGARCACTAGGAGGAAGAACTTCTTCACTGTGAGGGTGACAGAGCCCTGGCACAGGCTGCCCAGGGAGGCTGTGGAGTCTCCTTCTCTGGAGGTCTCCAAACCCGCCTGGATGCCGCCCTGTGCCCCGTGCTCTGGGTGTCCCTGCTGGAGCAGGGGGGTTGGACTGGATGATCTCTAGAGGTCCCTTCCAACCTCAACCATCCTGTGATTCTGTCATAACCATTTCCGCTCCTACATGGCAGAACCAACTCATCCAGAGCCTTGCTTTTCCTCTGCCCATTCATTAGAAGAGAGCAGAGAGGGGGCATCGCTTTGGCAAAATCCCAAATTCCAACATTTGCCTTCCTTGCCTCAACGTCAGGCAAATTCCATGATTCAGCATCGCGAAGCCATTAAGGACACAGACAACTCCCTGTACTTACCCTCAGTACAAGGAAAGACCCCTACCCTTCTCCCCAGAGGGCTGGAGGTGGATCCTTCAGGATTTCTCCCACATGGAAACACTCCGTCAGTCCTCTATGACACGTGTGTGAAGAGCAGCGTGCTCTTCCCCACAGAGAGCAGGATAGGACCCCTCTCCTCGCGTCCCTGGCACCAACACTGGCACCAACCCCTCATCCAATACAGAGTCTGGTGGTACAAAATCCTAACTTGTATTTCCAGCCATAAATAGGAGATAATCAACAGTGATTTCATAACAACCCRTTTCTGTGCATCTGCTAATACACCTATCACAGCAATATACCCAGGCGCCACGCTCTGCTCCTGCAGCTTTTACATCCTCATCGTGTCAGAGGATGCCTTAAATGGGCCTCCTTATATAGTTTTTAGATACCTTTTCTAAATTCTGGTGCTTCATAGCCACTTTCACAGAAAAATATGTAAATGCTTGTTTTTGCAGCACACTGCCACTCTATTTCTATCCATGTGCTACTGTTAAAAAAGAATGTAAATTATTCATCTTGCCTGCCAGTTAATCAAGTCTTTAATGTACAATGGTGTTTGGCAGATCAGTTAGCATATTCTTTTGTCAAACAAACTTCAAAGAGAGGATGGTGGGGTACACTTCCCGATAAACAGATAAATGTGATAAATGTGATTTTAATATTTTGTCTTCCAACTACTACTGTGGAAGGCTGTTGTATTTTTAAGGATGGCGGCATTTTATGTCCCTAACTGGCTTTAATTTGGATGGCCACTGGGGAGGATACACRTCCCTCGTGTTTCTAAACATTTTCTCATATCCCAAGTAGAGCTCTTGAGTTTTTTGGGAACCAACAGCAGAAGATTTTGTTTCCTCCACTGGTTTCAGCCGCTAACGTCCTACGAAAGCCAGATAAAGACACAGAACAGTCAAACCCGTTGTACTAAAGCTGCATAAAGACACAGAAGGAGTCAAACCCGTTGTACCAAAGCTGGATAAAGACACGGGAAGAGTCAAACCCGAGGTTTCGCCGGGCACTGCTAACGCTGCCCGTCACCGGCTGCCACCCGGCTTCGCAAAGCGGCTATCCCGGCCGCCCTAAAAATAGAAAGGCATGGGATCATGTGCATCTGTAACCKGGGACAGTGACAATCCAGGGAATTAAAACTTCGTGGAACTTCTCYAGTTTTTATTATTATTATTATTCCCGTATTTACATGAGGGGCGGGGAGGCTGAAGCGCCTGCGGAGCTCACGCAAGGGCACCTCTGCAGACATGGTGGCCACGCGGGTTTGCAGGCCTGCGTGTGACTGACCACAAAGGCAGCTCATGTGCGTTACACGGGGGAGGAAAAGCCGTTTCCCTCTCTGTGAGGCTAATTCGGACTCGCACCCGCTCCGCACCCCAGCCCCCACCCCGGGGAGCGCGCACGCGCGGCAGCGCGGGTGCTACGTCACCCCCGCGCTCCCCCGCCCGCCGCTGCTGCGCGCGCGCCGCCCCTCCCCGCGCGCGCCTCCGCGTCACGTGCCCTCCAGCCCCCCGCGGCAGCCAATGGGCGGCGCGGGCCGGCGGCGGGGCCTTTATAAGCGGCGGCGCGGCGGCGGCGGCCGCAGTGCTGGGTGTCGCGGCGGCGCGGGACGGACGAGCGGGGCAGCGCGTGGCCGCGACGCCCGCTCCCCTGCGGCCGCTCCCCAGCGGGGCSCGGGCTGAGCCGTGCAGGAGGGCGGCCAGGTCTGTGTGCGCGCGGCGCGGGCGGGCGGGCGGGCTGCCCGGGGCGGGGCGGCCATGTCGTGCCCGCGGGGGTAACGGTCCGGGCGGCGGGGCGGGCCGCGCGGCGCCGCGCCCTCTCTAACGACCTCTCCGCTTTGCTTCCCGCCGCGCTTCTGCTTGCTGGACGGTGGCGGCTCCCCCTGCTGCGGCAGGAGGATGTGCGTGTGCCCCGGGCCCCGGCGCATCGGTACGTACCGCGCCGGGCCGCTCGTGCTCCCCGTCCCGCGCCGGGCCCCGCCGGCCACTCCTTAGCTCGCGGGTCCCTGTGTCCCCTTCGCGGGACGGTGCCCGGCGCTGCGGCCCCTCGGGGAGGGCGCCCGGCCCGGCCCGAGGCGCCTGGCAAATCTCGACCGGCTTGTGAAATTCCTGCTCCGTCCTCCTCCGCCGTCTGCCGATGGATTGCRGTGCAGTGGAACCTGAGGTTACTTGTGTCTCCCTCCAGCTGGTGTGTGGGCCCCCTTGAATGATGCAGGGCCAGGGAAACTTGGTTACATCCTATTGGGTTTAATGTGATTCTTTTGACTGRTGGTTTAAAGCTGGCAAATAATTTCCAGTAGGTTTGCAGAGCTGCTAACAGCGGGACAGCTACTCCCCCTTGTTGTGGATCAACAGCTACAAGCCTGTTGTGGAATGATGTGCGGATGGGTCAGCGTTGAGCACGTGCTCGACAGCCAGGAACTTGATTCAGCTGGATCCCTGTGGGAGAGCAGTGTAAAATCCCGTCTTGATTCAGCTGGATCCCTGTGGGAGAGCAGTGTAAAATCCCCTCTTGATTCAGCTGGATCCCTGTGGGAGAGCAGTGTAAAATCCCAGCTGATGGTGCAGACCAGGCACATCTGTAAAAATCTTAACAGGTTCTCATTCTGTAAGCAAGAGGTAACTTTTGAGGTGTTCCCTGAAGAGCCTGACATAACTGTCATCCAAAGAGCTCATAGTTACAAGTCTGTAAATACTTCTAATGCCTGTATTTGGGGTTGCAGTGCCCTTCTGTCATGTATGTGGGCCTGCTCTGCAGAAATGCAGCTTCTGGGAAGCGAGGGGCTAATGTACCAGGTTGCTGTAAGATCAATCCAGTGGATGCTGCTGAGTGCCTGGATGGCTGGCTGTGGTCCACAGGGCTCCAGCCGAAGCTCTTCTGATACCTGAGCAGCAGAGCTCTCAGATTGGCCTTTGTGGTTGTTACTGGGAGATCCGGGAGAGTCGGTCGAGTGAAGCAAGGATGGCGARTGCTTCTGTGGGATGTGAGGATGTAATGCTAGCAAATGCAACGAAGTAGTATCATCGGGAATTTTACTCTGCCTTTAGCACTGGCATATTTTGCAAGAAGAGCAAATTCCATTCCCATTTCCTTCAAGAAGAACAAGTGACCTTGGAAATAACATTTCACTCATTCCTTGTTTCTTGAGGTTGGAAGGAAACTTCATATATTTCTAGCTACCTCTCAGCTGATCTAGGTGGTAAGCCAAAAGTCTGGCAAAGTCTGGAAAGCCCCTGACAAGGGCTCTCCTGAAGCATTTCCCACTTTAATTCCGTCTGTTGTGTGGCCACTTCAGATTGGGGCTTAGAGCCTCTTTCATAGGTGCTCAGTCTCTTCAGACTGTGATGCTAGATGTAATTGGCTAAAAAAGTTAATCAATTAAGTGAATGTTCAGACACCTTGCCCAATGCAACAGTACCTGGTTTCTCAGTAACACAGTTAAATCTGCAATAGATAGTGCTGATAGCACTGTTCTTAAACTAATCCCTAATCCCCACACGGAGCATCATAAAATAACTTTTAACAGTTCCCTCTAGTTAAAACAATGTTATGCTGCAATATAATCCTAAAAAGTAGAGAGGGAGAACAGAATTCTCCTTAAAACTATGCTCATCAAACCAAAAAGCACAATTCAAAATCTTGCGCTAATTGGTAGAAATACTTTGGTAGTGCTCTTTGGGGATGCAGCCTAAGTGATTTATTGAACAGGAGATCGCCGTGTTGTACTGATTGTATGTGTATATAAATGGGGAGAAGGGAGTTGATCAGAATATTTTTTTCAGAGGAGTGTTTTTCTTAGATGCAGCAAAATATGCTAGAAGATTTTTCTAGCATTGGACTAGGCTGGCTCCACTCTGGTAGTGGAAGCAAATACAAGTTGTATATCATCCGTYAATTGAGTTTTGTTTAACAGTTAGCTCTAAAACTTACTGGGAAAGGTGATCTCTTAGTAGAAAGATGCATTGCCTGCTTTGTAAAGGAGATGCTGTTTGACACCAGCTCCTGTGTAGGTGCTCATTGGTACTTTATTTGTACCTTTTATCTAAGCAGATAAACAATTGCTACATCTGAAACAGCCACAGTTGGCAGACTGCATACTGTGGTGCCCTATAGGTGAGATATGAAGCATTCCATATAAATGAGAGGGATAAGAATCACAGAATGGTTGAGGTTGGAAGGGGCCTCTAGAGATCATCCAGTCCAACCCCCTGCTCCAGCAGGSACACCCAGAGCACGGGGMACAGGGCGGCATCCAGGYGGGTTTGGAGACCTCCAGAGAAGGAGACTCCACAGCCTCCCTGGGCAGCCTGTGCCAGGGCTCTGKCACCCTCACAGKGAAGAAGTTCCTCCTCCTCATGTGCAGATGGAACTGCCYGKGTTTCAACTTGTACCTATTASCCCTTGTCCTGTCACTGGCCACCACTGAGAAGAGCTTGKCCCCTTCCTCCCTACATTCYCCCTTCATGAACTTATACATGTTAATCRGATSCCCTSTCAGCCTTCTCTTCTCCAAGCTGGACAGGCCCAACTCAGTCTCTCATCATACGAGAGATGTTCCAGTCCCTTAATGATCTTTGTTGCTCTCTGCTCTACTCTCTCTCGAAGCTCCATGCCCTAAGAAATAAAATCTGCTCCTGTTGTACAGTCTTTTGAAAGAATATCAGACAGCGAGATAGTCTTTGACTTCTTTACTTAAAATACCATTTTGTACAGAGTTGTTTACCACTTCAGCATTGCTTTTTGCATATTGCAGTCAGGTGCTTTATCTCCTCTTCAGCCTTATAGGCCTGGTTTTTCTTTCTCTGTATGCTAATTAGCTCTGTCAGCTAGACAGGAAAACTGTCAGGAAAGCAAAATTCTGTAGGAATTCCATGGGATGCCTCACTTTTGTAGAATGGCACCCACTGACTATTGTCTGTAACTTTTGTAAGAAGCTGCATTGTGTCTGGATAATGGTTTTACTGCCCACCTCTATGAGTGGGTATGAGAGCTGAACCAGTTATGACATAGCTTTAGGCATTATTGCTTAAAAAAAGGTACCTTCTAATGCTTTTTTTGCTTTTCCAAGACCTGTTAAAGCTGTGTATTGCTCACTGTAAGCTTCACTTAGATACTGTAAATGCTCTAAACCTGGCTTTTGGGGAAAAAGCTGTTAGCAGTTGCCCTAAGCCTGGTTGTTCTTTTGTCTTCCAGCGATTCCCATCCGGAGCTCCCGGCTGCCGCTGCTCTCGGATGCCATGCCAGCTCCAGCCCATCTGTTTCCGTTGATCCGTAGCTGCGACATCGGCAGGCTCTGCAGCGCCGCCTGCTACTGCCACCACAAGCACCTGTGCTGCCTGTCGGCCCACTTCACCCATGGGCACTTCAGGTGTGCACCTCAGAGGAAGTTYGCAGCGCTCTGCAGGCCCAAGGAGAACTTTAACCGCTTTATTCACACGAGGGACTATGCCTCCACCCCACAGAGGTTTTACCTCACTCCTCCACAAGTCAACAGCATTCTGAAGGCAAATGAATACAGTTTTAAAGTCCCTGAGTTTGATGGTAAAAACATCAGTTCTGTCCTTGGCTTTGATAGCAATCAGCTCCCTGCCAATGCGCCGATAGAAGACAGGAGGAGCGCTGCCACTTGCTTGCAGACCAGGGGGATGCTCCTGGGGGTTTTTGATGGCCATGCAGGCTGTGCGTGTGCTCAAGCTGTCAGCGAAAGACTGTTTTATTACATTGCTGTCTCTCTGTTACCTCATGAGACTTTACTTGAAATAGAAAATGCTGTGGAAAGTGGTAGAGCTCTGCTGCCCATATTACAGTGGCACAAACACCCTAATGATTATTTTAGCAAAGAAGCTTCCAAGCTTTATTTTAATAGTCTGAGAACTTACTGGCAGGAGCTCATTGATCTCAATAGTGGAGAGACTACTGATGTGAAAGAAGCTTTAATTAATGCTTTTAAAAGGCTTGATAATGATATTTCTTTGGAAGCTCAAGTAGGAGATCCAAATTCTTTTCTCAACTACCTAGTACTAAGAGTAGCTTTTTCTGGTGCAACTGCCTGTGTGGCCCATGTAGATGGTGTTGACTTGCATGTTGCCAACACAGGTGACAGTAGGGCAATGCTTGGGGTTCAGGAAGAGGATGGCTCTTGGTCTGCARTTAATCTGTCCTATGATCACAATGCACAAAATGAACATGAAGTGGAACGTTTGAAAATGGAGCACCCAAAGTCTGAAGAGAAAAGTCTTGTGAAGCAAGACCGCCTCTTAGGCCTCCTGATGCCTTTTCGAGCTTTTGGTGATGTAAAGTTCAAGTGGAGTATTGAACTGCAGAAGAGAGTAGTAGAATCGGGCCCGGATCAGCTGAATGACAATGAATACACCAAGTTTATTCCTCCAAACTATCACACTCCTCCGTACCTCACAGCTGAGCCAGAAGTCATACATCACAAACTAAGGCCCCAGGATAAGTTCTTGGTTTTGGCCACAGACGGACTGTGGGAGACTATGCACAGGCAAGACGTGGCTAGAATTGTAGGGGAGTACCTCACTGGTGTTCACCACCAGCAGCCAATAGCTGTTGGTGGCTACAAGGTAACTCTGGGGCAGATGCACGGGCTSTTAACAGAGAGAAGAGCAAGGATTTCCTCAGTCTTTGAAGACCAGAATGCAGCAACTCACCTGATCCGCCACGCGGTGGGTAACAACGAGTTTGGCACTGTGGATCACGAGCGACTGTCCAAGATGCTGAGTCTTCCAGAAGAACTGGCTCGAATGTACAGAGATGACATCACAATCATTGTGGTGCAGTTCAACTCGCACGTCGTAGGCGCCTGTCAGAGCGAGCACCTGTGAAGYTCCACGCAGTGAACTAGTCACCAAAGCTGTAACCGTGGCCAGTACGAGCAGCAGATTAGAAACAAWTTGGTTGCTTGTTACATTAAACATATCTATTTTTTCCTGCCTTTCCCCAGAGCTCTAAATGTATGGGAAGTGTTACTGACCCAATATAAACTTGAAGAGGGTGGCACAGCTTGGCAAGAGGCTTCTGTAATAATGTTGCACTATTGATTTCATGAATGCTGCTACAACAGTTGTGAATTTGACAGGCCTAGATAAGGGGTGGGGGGGAAGGGGGACACAATTAACTATCAAACTTTTCAGCTGTTCAGGAAACAAAGCCTGTTTCTCAACATTTGTAAATACCTGTGCACTCTCCTAAAGATAAGACTAGTAATAAGGAATATTGTATTCTTATAGGGCTAATTCTTGCAAAATAGATGCAGTTGCTTCTCAATATTTGCTGTCTACCTTTTCCTCTAAACAGAGGAAGATGATTTTAAGTCATGAAGTCATTAATGTAACAATGTCATTCACTTAAAGATATCTAAGTGACTTTCAATGCAGGTCTAAGCCATATTYAATACCTGAGATTATAGTTTAATCATATATTATGCACAGTAACTTCTGAACTTTTTGTGCATTAAGTTTCTTGGCTTGTGGGTTTCTGCACAACTTATTAGGCAATAATTCATTGCAGCCTTCAATAACATACTGGATAACTCAGTTTGTGAAGGACTTCAGTTTGCAATATGAAGAAACTTTTAGGTTTCCAAAAAAAGTCAATGTTGGCCAACACTGTTGGCTTCTGTAAAGTTCATGTCCTTCATGGACTCCAGTTCTGGTTCTTACTTGCCTGATAATAGGTTTTATCAGGTCACCTGTATGTGATTTCCTTTATCATTGCTAAATTCTTTGACTTTGTAGCTTGTACTCAGTTTCACTTTAGCTGTTTCAGGTGGTCACATACTGGATGTCTTGCCCTTGAGCTCATTTATAGGTCCGTCAGGATGAAAGCTTCCATTTACAAATTGCAGAAAGAGGTATGGCTTGTAAATAGCTGGGCAGCTAACTAGCATGCATGTGTATGTTTAATGACTTTTTGTGGCAACTTCATTATTAGCAGCCATGTATTTCTAGGCAGCTGGCATATGCATGTTCTTACAATCCAGAGTGTTGTCACAGAACAGTCTCTTAAGTGGGTCTCTGGTTGTAATGGTTGAATGTGAGCTTAAAAGGTAGTGTCCTGGACTAGAATGTGTGTGCCTGAATCTTACAATTCAGAAGTGCAAAGAGTAGGGGCTGACAGCTGAGCTAATGGTCTTCATTGTGTCTGTTCTAGGTATGTTGCATTGCACACAGGTTTTCTAACCCATCCTGAAGTTAAAACCTTAATGCTGGCTGAAGTGTCAGTCCTTGATGACTGAGAACACCTGTAACTTGACTCCTGAGGTTTGCTATAGAAACTCTGAAACAACTGTCAGTGGGCAGGTTTAATTTTACCAAGATGTTTTAATTAAAATCGCCTTTATTGTAACTAAATTAACACTAGGAAAATGTAGCTTCCTATTTTCAATTGAGCAATGTGGCATTTTCTAATAAATAAAAATATTGCCAACTAAGACTACTAATGCATAGGATACACTTAATTTGACAAATTGTCTGTAGTAAATATTGGCTCATCATACTTGCAGATGCTGTGAGTACTTGGTGGCATGCAGCTTTAATAYGTACGTATCTTCACCAATCTCAAATTCAGGATCAGCTTTGTTGTCAAGTTAATGATATCCAAGTYCACCATCGTGAACAACTCGTCTTTATCTGAAGGGAAAAGAGAAGCTGTAAAATGCTTAGACAGGTGCTGCCTGTTGACATTGGTCCTGTGTTGTGTGTTGGTGACTGTCATTAGGTCAATACTTGTTCTCTTATCATTTGGATGCAGTGTATCTAAACTGTTGCAGCATTTAACTTTCATACTTTTTTCTACTGTTAAAGCTCCCTTACATGTATTGACATATTTAACCCATGATTCTTGATATGGATTTGGTACCAGTCATAGCTAGATGAACTGAGCATTGGTTCTATGTATACAACTTTTACKGAGGAAAAGCTGCTTTTTTGTAGTAAAGCATATGTATGGGGTCAAACAATATAGTATTTATGTATTGCTTGGAGACTTGCTCAGTATATATGCAGTGAACAGAAGCAGCCTAACTGCCTGCTGAACAGGTGATCTGAACAAACATGTTTTAATTCCAATAAAATGATCAATTATGCAGAAATGTGTATTAGACTGCTAGTGTAATCTGTTAAGATGAAATTTTATGATCTACTTGTATTATTTCAAGAATGTGCTTGGTTCCATGCTGTGAATAGACCAGGTGGCCCATTGCAGCGGACAAGGTGCGAGTGGAAACGCGCTGAGAACTGAGCKTAAAGCTGCTCGACTCGCGTGCAGCCCCGTGCCTGCTGCTGCGTGGTGCCTCGGAGGGCAGCGCCGCTGGGGCCGGGCCGAGGGCGCTCCCAGCCATGCACAGCCGGGACGGAGGTGACGGTGGCACCGCAGCCCTTGCGAAAGGGAGCTGCCTTCCCGGGCAGCCTCAGGTGCTTGTGTGCGAATCCCAGTGATAGTCAGCTAAAGAGCACGTCAGGTCCTGCAAGAAAAGGATGGGTCCTTCCCGTTCCTGGTGTCTCCCTGACCTGTTTCCTTACAGAAAATAAGGTGTGGGTGCTGTGGATGCTTCTCCGAGGCAAGGATGTCATGGGTGCACAGCCACGGCTCAGCCCAGCAGAACGGCCAAAGTTTGAGAGTCCACACAAGCGTCTAGATTCGCCATTAAAACAAACTTGTGAAAATTGTAGAAGAATGTGTGAACTGCTTAACAGTAGTGATGGCAGGTATCGACAGCAGGTACTATGGGAGTCAAGGTCTTCGCTTGGGCTGTGCTTTCATGTTTAGACTGTGTGTTGATTCTGTTTCATTGTGTTCAGAATAGTATGTGGTATAAAACACTGCCAAAAGTTACTATGAAAAGTACCAGCTGTTACTGTAATAGTTTTCATGGCCTAGTTTGCCTTCCTTGTGTAGGGCTCCACAAGGGCAGAGTTCAGAAAGAATCCATAGTGACTGTTTCTAATAAGTGTCTTCCACACAAGGGTTAGATTCTTCTTCTGGGCAATGTACTTGTAAGGAGCTGACCTGGCAGGGATGGAAAATCCAAGTGTTCCTAGATCTCTTCATCTCCAGTGTCCTAAGCTCCCTGCTGTCAAAATCCCTCTGGTTCAAAACTGCTYGTGAAGATGCACAATCTGATGGCCATCAGGGGCCAGTAGCTTGCTGTGTGCTGAACACTGCTATCCACGTGGCTCTGCAGCAGTCCAAAAACAGTGCTAGCACAATGCAGGGAGCGGATGCCAAGGGAATAGAATTGATCCCAAGAAACTTCTGCAGCTTCTTTTTTTCTTAGTTACTCAGTAAAGCATTGAAAGAAGTATATGGAGTTGCAAAATGTGGCCAAAGTGCCCTTCTTTATTTGGAGAAGCTTAGGCCTCAGCAGATGCTGTGGGCACAAAGAGAAGCAGAGCTCTTCCAGCCTGCCAGCTTGTGCACTGCCGTCCCAGCTGCCTCCTGCACGTGCGAGGGCTGCGTCCTGTCCCCCTCAGGAAAAGGAGCCCGTCCAGAGGGTCTGTCTGTCTCCGAAATCAAAGCATCCGTGTATCCTTCTGAGAAGTGCTTCATGTAGGGTAGCCTTCTCTAAGCATGCTTTTGGTTTTCTTCTGTTGTGTTCGGAAGCTTATGTACAGAAGATAATCATTTTAATGAAACACTGAGTTTCATATTCCTTTTTGAAAAACAAATATGACTTCAAGTTAATATATACATTTAGAATGCATACATTCCTCTTCTCAAGTGCTTAATTATACTGCCTTTTTATTACTCATGTTTTTATTTGAAGGTTCCCACCTGCCAAGTATGTGCAGCCTACAGCTTCAGGATATTGCCCCTTGTTTTGCTTTTCATTTATCAGTGGCTGAACGTGGTTCCTCTGCCCTTAGAGGTTCTCTTTGTGCAGGGAAAAGGCTTGCTAATGTTCTGGATTAAATTATTTAACAACTGCAATATATTTACTTGCTGTGCAAGCAAATGGGTTTTGTCACTTTTGTCAGAAATGTGATATCAAATTGCAATTTTGAAAACCTCATTTGAAACTTTCTTTTCAGTTTTCACTTCTTACCTGGCCTAGCAAATCTTCATTATGGACTTACTATTTTTAGCATATTTCACAAGAATAACTGTTAATTACAGTTCATAAATTAAAGTCAAATGCATTGTGAACTTCCAGACATCARATAGCTGTGCAGTGGAGGGAACTCACAGGATGACTTTATGTGTTTATCTCAACCCAACYAGCTTAGGAGTTGGTTGGGTTGAGATAAACTACTTATAATCTTAATCTAATCTTAATTATTGTCTCCTAAAAGTTAAAGCTTGGAACCACTTTCTGAGTTCCTCTTATCTCTGGAAGTAGTTTCTTGGGGAAATGAGAAAAAGACTAAGCTTTGTAATTAGTGCATTAAACAAAAAAAAAAGTCTTAAATTCAATTACTTTTATTTGTTTTTTCCATCCATGCRAATCAGCTGCTGAAACACAGCCCAAGACAAGTGTAACCGTTGCGTTGCTGGAGTGAAAGAAAAATGTTAAGTAGGTAGAACTGGTCATTATATCTGTTTGAAGGGTTTCAGAGGTAATAAATTACCACTTTGTTGGTAAATTGGTAAATCCATTGTTGAGATATAATAAATATGACTAGCTCATGGCTATGCTGCTGGTTATGCCTTGCCTTTTATCTGCTGCCCATGTCTATGTTAATAGGTTGCTGGCACTAACAAGGGATAAACTTCCATCCTTCATAACTGGATCCCAAACTGAGCATGAATTGGCAGTGTCAGCCTGTGGCGAAGACAAAAGCAGCCTCAGATGCGAAAATGGGAGAGTCCTCTGGGCTCCTCTGTGCTGGCAAGGCCTTGGAGCAAAAAACTTGACTCGTTTATTGGTCAGTGTGCAAGTTTTCTGAAAAGCAGCATTTACTGCAAATGACTCTTTAATCTCTCATGAAAATTTCCAGGATGACCTAACACACAACTTAAGAAAATATACRTGCTGCTTACTATACTATGATGGTTAAGTATTCTTTCTTTCCTGTATCAAACAATTAATGAGAAATGAGCATTAACCTTGGGGGGTTTTGTTGGTGTTTTKGGTCTGTTAACAAATAAAAGGAGTAGACTGAAGTCACCCTAGAAAAATCAGGACTATTCAGCTAGTTTGTGCAGAATCTAGACTTTAGTTTTAAGGTCAAAGGGGGTTTCTTGCGTGGTAGATAAATGGCTTTGGCCCTAGACTGCTTATTGTTCTGGGATGCTTCTCCTTTGATCCTTCTTTCTTCCTTTTCTGTACAAAAAAAGAGAGGGGGGAATGTAAAGGCATCTGAATATACCCTAGTCTGAAGTCAGACAAGAGCAAAGAATGGGCAACAGGTCTCAGCTTACAGACAATATTATAAACAGACAATATTATAAACAGAGATCTGTTTGACACTGTGGTAGATCTTTCTCTTGTAAAGGGAAATATCCTTGATTTATATACTTTCTACAGGTAATTTCCTAGTACATAAATTCTATTTAATAAACCTTGCCAATACAAAGTGTATTTTTATATTGCATCATGAGTAAACAGCATGCTTTAGCTATAATATCCTGTGTCCGTACTTGAGGATAACATTTGATACAGTGCCTCTCATCTTAATTGCAAAATTAATCCACTTAGGACTGTCTCTGTGCACTTTGTGCCTCTGTTCTGAAAGACAGGAGATAAAAAGAAGGCATAATGGAAATCAGGGATGTCAGTGAGGTTAACAGGAGGGCATCCCGTAAGGTGGCACAGCCATGAATTTTTGTGTGTGTGTATATATGCATATGTATATATAAATACTAAAATTGCTGCAAGCTGATGCTTGTAAGTTCTTGTGGGAACCTTATGTGGGTTCAGCTTTAGCTTAAGGCACCTAAGTTTAGGGACCTGTGTGTGAACGTAACTTCTAAGTGTCTCCTGCTATTACAGTTTATGGGGCATTATTCAGTGTATAATGTAGAGACTTAATAGCTATGCAGCCCACTCTAAAACAGACCCATTAGATGCTACTGACTCGACCCTAACACTTGTTCTCACACAGAGATCTTCATTTGGATGTTGTTGGCCAGAGTGGGGGCAAATCTCACCCTTTACAGTATCTTCAAGGATACATTAGTCCTGCAGCTCTCATATCTGCCAGTCCTATCTGAGAGCATATCTAGATTTTGAATTCAGCGTTGCACCTAGTCATGTGCCTGTGAATAACTATATTTCAAGGGCACTTTTTTTATTTATTTTTGCCTTTGAATATACAGAAGTGCATCTCAATATCCAATGCCCTTTTTATGCTCTTCTGTCAGCCTACACAGGTAGGGTATAGGCTGAAATGGCCTTTAAGGGCTATAGGTTTCTCCTTCCTCTCTCCTATGTTGCTACCATTCTGAGGACTCCTTTTACCTGCTACAGAGGCTTGCTCTGTTAGTGGTTTTATGTGCAATTTCTGCAGCAATATATGGGTTCCATAATCTCTACAGACTGTGCTGCAATAGTTCTTGATATTGCTTCTAGCTTGAATGAGTAACGATCTAAAACAGTAAAGGCTGCAACATAATTGATTAGATGAAGCATTCCGTTCATGCCACCACAAAAACAGAGTTGAAGAACTACTGGCTCTGCAGAAGAGATGAATAGTCAAGTTAATCAACTTGTCCTTTCTCATTCTGAAAAATAATTMATTCCTAGCTTGTGGAGAAAATGCYATTTATCAAGATAATAGAGCAGCAAATAAAAGACAAAATATGGATAACTGAGAGAAAAAAACCTAGTTTTTATATTGTTGTAGATAGTGCACAGGGGGGGACAGTCTTCTGGCAGGCAGCTCAAAGGAAAGAAGTGTGACAATGTAGGGCAGGCTCTTGTCACGCCGAATCAGGGCATCT